CCTTACAAGAGTGCACAATCCCTGAAAAACCTCCTGTCCACCAATCCACACAGCCTGAAGCTCTCTTTTTGCAGAATGTAATCACCCCTCTACACCAATCACCAGTTCCCAGAGCCATGAGCCCCATATTGAAAGCTGTGCTTTCCATCTTTACTGCTTGAAGTTTCAACTAGAGCAGGGAAAGTCATTCAACAAGGTCCAGTGTATTTCCCCTCAGACAAGGTCAGATCAGAGGTGGGAGGGCCACAACATTCCAGGAGGAAGGAAAGCAGGGACCATTCCGCCCCTCTCACCTATGACACCACAGAGACCCTGAAAGGTGGCCCAGAGAGGCTGCCCGGCCACCCAGAATGAGCATCAGGACACAGTGTGTCCACAGCTTATAGTGAAAGTCACAGAAACAGTGCATGTTGGGGGTAAGCTTCTTGAGACTGGCCGGCTGTAGGGCCCTGGACAGGTGTCTGAGCCCCTGTGCCCCTCAGTTTCTTCCTCCACAAAGTGGTTGTCACAGACTGTCTCTCATTGCACCCCATTCCTCCTTCCACTACAGTAGCACTGTGCCCAAGTGCCCCCCCCCCCCCCCGCCCGCTCTCCCCAGGCCGCCCCCACTTTTAATACCTAAGAGAGGCCTCATTTCTCACCTCTCATTGGCTCGTGTCCCCTCCCAACAGGGGGGCCTTCAAAGCCTCCTCAAGTTCAGGCCCCTACCACCCCTCCACTCTCCAGGGCACCTGCCCTTCCCGGCTTCTTGAGTCTCCCAGCCCTATCATGCTCAGGGCCCCAAACCCTCCCGTGGTACCCAAGTCTCCTCAAGGGCTACCCCCTGCCCAGCTCAACAGACTCTTCCAGTTCCCAAGTAGGTCCTGGCTCAGGCCAACGTTCACTGCAAATGTACCCAGTAACTACCAGGAGCAAAGCTCTGCTGGAGGCTGCAGAGTTCCCTGGTAAACGTGGGTTCCACTTCTGCACCCCCGTGTTTAGTTGTCAGAGCTGGGGCGGGGACCTTAACTTTTCTGGGCCTCGACTTCCCCTTCTCGCTCATGGAATAAAGCCTCTCCTGGGTGGGAAAAGGAGCACAGCCCAGGGTCCTGGGAGAGCAGAGGGGGCGCCTGAGGTAGAGGGAGGCCAAGCGCTCACGCTGCCTCCCACAGCCAGGCCTCCTTGCCTGTCGCCAGGTAGGTGACTGCGCGGGTCAGGTCGCCGGGCACGGGACCAGCCGGCTACAGCGGCGCCCAGGCTCGGGCGGGCCGCCAGGTGAGCGCGCCCAGGAGCTCCAAACGCGTCGCTGGCGGCCGTGCGTCCACCCGACAGACTTCGGGTCATGGAGCCGCACGCGGGGGGCGTCACGGACCCTAGGGGGAGCAGAGGAGGTACGGGAGGGTGAGGAGGGACTGGGCGCGTCCCTGCCACCCCTCGCCCCGCCTGTCTGCTCCTCACCTTTTCCTTCCGACAGGTAGTAAACAAAGCAGCCCAGGCGCCCTAGTGGCGGTGGCGGTGGCGGTGGCGGCGAGCAGGGGGGCCCGGCGACCCGGGCTGGGCTCCAGGTCTCCGACCTGCACCCGTACCCGCACCCGCATCCGCACCGCGGGGCCGTGTACCAGACCCGGGGGCTCTCAGGAGTCTCCGGGGAGTTGTGCCACTGGGGTCTGCCCGGGTCACTGGGGACACCTGGGCCCTCAGGGTCTGTAGTGAATTGCGGGGGTGGGGGCGTTAGGCGGGAAGCCTCTGGGATAAATGGAGGGGCAATTTGGGACTACGTGGGCCATCAGGGTATCTGGATACCTGGCTATCTGGAAGGGGAATCGGGGGTGCCGGGGCCGCAGCGGCGGCCGACCCTGTTCTGTCGGGGCACCTGGAGAAATCGGGGTCCCTCTCGATATCGTGCGGAAAGAGTTTGGAATCTGGGCTTATGAAGGGGCAGTCGGAGACCTCCAGAGATAGTCCCAAGATGTTCGGAAGGGTCCGGGAATAATTCGGCCACATAGCTGTCTCCAGGATTATGGTGGGGGCAGGCGGGGGTCCACCGGCATACTCGCGATGGTCTGGGGGTCGCGGGAATTGAGAGGGGCAGTGGGCGACCTTCGGAACTATCGAGCGAGTGGTCGGGGGGGCTCTGAAGATCTTGAGGGGCATTCTAGGTCTTCGGACGTCGGGGAGCGTGGGTTGGCCGAGGCTCCGGCAGGCGCTGACTTGTTCCTTTCACCCGCGCAGGCCGGGGCCTTTCCCTGCCCGCGGGACCCAGAGCCCGGCAGCTCCTGGCGCGGCTGGACGCGCGCCCCCTGGCGGCCCGAGCTGCGGCCGACGTGGCGGCGCTGGTACGCAGGACGGGCGCCACATTGCGCCTGCGCCCCAAGGCCGGTGCGTGTCGGGGGCGGGGCGGGGCGGGGCCTCTCAGGGGGCGGGGTCTGACTGGAGCCGGATTCTGACGTGGCGGACCCGGGATGGTTGGTTGCTCCCCTGGGTGGGGCCAATGCTCCCCTGGGGGGACTGGTGGGGCGGGGCTCGGAGGGAGCTGCGAGACGGGGGAGTCCTGACGTGATCCTAGAATATTCCTCCAGGAGGTGACACTGGGAAGGTTACTGCAGTAGGTGAATGTTGCATGGCTAGTTGTGAGTGCGGGCCGGATTGGTTATCCCTGTCGGTGGGGCTTTGAATGGCATTTCTGAGAAGGTGGGTCCTGGAGAGCGTTGGGGGCGGGCACTTGGCTAAGGGGCGGTCCTGGAAGGCCACTCTAGGGGGTGGAGCCTACAAGCGCGAAGGGGCGGGACTCGAAATGTCAGGAATGGGTTGAAGTTTATAGGCCAGTTAGAGGGCGGAGCCTGGAAAGTTCAGGAGCCCAATCTTGGAATTGCACCCTCCAGGGAGGGCCTGAGGGTGTTAATATGAGGAGCGAGATCTTCGTGTGTATTAGAGGGCCGTAGGAAAGTCTGGACGCTTATTCTATTAGCTGGGCCCAGATTTATTACTTAAAAAGGCTGGGTCAAGTCAGTTATTCAGGTGTGCTGAGTTCAGTTAAATGAGTGCGTGTGTCTCTCTGCATTCCACAGGCAAGGAAATGAGGTGAGGCTAGAATGTTAAGTCAGGGGGCTGGGGCGCCTGGGTGGCGCAGTCGGTTAGGCGTCCGACTTCAGCCAGGTCACGATCTCGCGGTCCGGGAGTTCGAGCCCCGCGTCAGGCTCTGGGCTGATGGCTCGGAGCCTGGAGCCTGTTTCCGATTCTGTGTCTCCCTCTCTCTCTGCCCTTCCCCCCTTCATGCTCTGTCTCTCTCTGTCCCAAAAATAAAAAAACGTTAAAACATTAAAAAAAAAAAAAAAGAATGTTAAGTCAGGGGGTAGATCCTTGGTGGTTTCCATGGAGTACCCCTCTGATTGCCTTTTTCATCTTCCAGCCATTAGTGTGCTAGATTCTGCCGACATAGAGGTTACAGACAGTCGCCTACCTAATGCCACTTTTGTGGATCACCGGCCCCAGGTACCATTTTGTCCTCTTAAAGAATGCCACCTGTTTTAGACTGGAAATGTATGTACACTTGTGTCTTTACTCCAGCATCACCGGTCAGAGACCTTGGGTACAGGTACCGCACCGCCCCAAGTGATCCAGAATAAGGTACGTTCTACTTCGAAGCCGCTCCAGGCCTCTGGACGGTTCTATGTGGAACTGGTTCGCGGTTCCGCAGGCTTTGGCCTCACATTAAGCGGAGGCCAAGATTCAGCCGGGGATACTCCTCTGGCAGTGCGTGGGCTGCTGAAGGATGGGCCGGCACAGCGCTGTGGTCGCTTGCAGGTAAGGTATAAGACACCCGTCATTAAACAAGGCTAGCCCAATCCTTACCCTTTGTTGGGGTGTTCTCCATCTGTTCTTTTACAACACCCCTTGCCTTGTACTCTTGCAGGCCGGGGACCTCGTGCTCCACATCAACGGAGAGCCAACGCAGGGCCTCACCCATGAGCAGGTGGTGGAGCAGATTCGCGCAGGCGGACCCCGTCTCCGCCTTGTATTAAGCAGGCCCCTTGAAACCCACCCCGGCAAGCCTGAGGGGATGGGAGGGCCTCAGAAAGGAGATGGTGGGTTTCCCAAAGGAGAGGGGTCAGAGATCTGTGAGAGGAAGGAGAGGGTGGCAGAGTGGAGAGGCTGGGGTCCAGGGCATGAAGAGGTGGTGGTCTCAGTGGGCAGGGTCAGAGTTCACTGCCTGTGACGGGTCATGGTATTACCAAAAGCAGGGTTGGGAAGGGCAGGGTCCCAGGATAGGAATAAAAGTAGGTCTTAGAGTGGAGGCTTTTGAGGTACTGGGAGAGGAGTGGGGAGAACGGGTCTGGGGTAAAAGTGGATGTTCGGAAGGAAGAGTTGTGGTCCTCGCATGAGAAGGCAGAATGGGTCTCAGCAGGGAGAGCATGGGATGGTGTAGTGAGGGGGATACAGAGGGTAGGGGGTCTAGTTCCAAAGCTGAGGGATCCATTAGGGAAAAGGTTGGGAGTAGAGGGAGGTGGGTTAAGGAAGGGGAGAGTCTAGGGTACTAGATAGGAGGGGTTTGGCATCTTGAGGTCAAGGTCAGGGTTTGATTTCCTTTGGGGATTGTAGGAAATTATAAGGATTGGGGTCTCTGTCTCCTGCAGCCCCTGGAGCCTCCCTGCCACGCTCCACTATGGGGCTCGGCTCTCAGTTCCCCATCCTATCGCCCAATCTAACCCGCAGTTCTGCCATCCCCAGATCGCAGGCCAGATCCTGGTGGACCAGAGGTGATGAAGTCTCGCAGCGCCAGCGCTTCCCCACGTCAGCACCCGCTATCCCGTACTACGGCCCAAACCCAGGGCAGCCCAGAACCTAGCCCAGAACCTAGCCCAGAGGGGGCAGCCGACTGCCCCGCGGTTCCTCCACCTGAGCGCCGCACAGAGGACCCTGATGACCGAACCCCAGGTTCCCCGGGACCCTGGCTGGTGCCGAGTGAGGAACGGCTCTCGCGGGCCCTAGGGGTCCCAGGGGCTGCGCAGCTTGCTCTCGAGATGGCAGCTGGGAGGCGGAGGCACTGAGCATGTAACAGAGGGTTTAGTGCTCCCTTGGTACAGCCCAACCTGTATCTGGCGTGCCCCGCCGGCCGCACACTAGCATCGCTATCATGGGCGGGGAGAGCTTCCTCTCTGTGTTGTCTCACCCTGCCTCCTGCTGAGCAGCAGACCAGCTCATGCTCCCCTCGAGGTGTCAGTGGTACAGCCCAACCGGACGGGCCAGACCAGCGCTTCTGGTTTCGAGCGGGGGTGGTAATAAAATGGTTCGACCCAGTCTTGACTTGCCAGGTGCTGTAGGCCGGGTGGGGCTCCTGAGTTCACCTGGTAAATGAGGGGGTGGGTCGATCTGGTTTCAAGGAGGGCTTCTTCTTGCAGCCATTGACAAACTTACTTCGTGTTGTTTCACTCGTGCCTCTAGCGGGGTCTGCTTTTGCTGATCCTCAGCCGGGCGTGCTTTCTCCCCACTCGGTTTCTCTTCCCCAACTCTTGCTTCTCTCCGCATTCGTTTCACTTTTGGGGAGGTGTGCAGGGCTCACAGATAATCTTTGCTCGTGGCACGGGGAATGCAGAGGTGGGCCCGTTGTAGCAGGAGTGCACCTATATACCCACAGCTCCAGGCAGGAATCCTCCAGACCCTCAGCTGATGAGCAGATAGCAAGGCTAGAACCTGGGTGGCTTCTTTCGCCAGGAGCCTGTGGTCTCTCACTTCCGGCCTGGTTGACCAGCTTTTGCTGGCACGTAGACTGCCACCCTTAGGGCATTGGTTGGGGCCCTGGAGCCCCCTTTGGGGTGGAGTCGGGAAGGCGTGAGTCAGCGGGCTGGGCTAAAAAAAGGCTGTTAGAACCTTTGAGCCGTGCCCCCCTCTTCCATAGATGGTGAGGAACTGCAGCCAGGCTTGTATGCACACGCCACATGCTGGGCGTTCCGGTCCTGGGAGAGGCCAGAGTTTCCTCCATCCTGGGAGCAGAGCCCCAAAGCCAGGGCTTATATGGCCAGCGGGACTCCAACCGGGATAGCCCCAAAGCCAGCACTGGCTGAAGCCAGAAATGTCCAGTCACCTCCGCTTGTCACCACATCCTGAACACTTGGCCCCATACCCCCAATGAAGGAAGCTGTGGTCAGGCAGGAGTGGGCAACTCCCACCTCTACAGGGAGGGGTTGGAGAGGGGCGACAAATTGAAAGACCAGAGGTGAGTTTCCAGAGTGACACTGAGAGGAGAGAAGGACTGCAAATGCAGGCTGGGAGCCAGGGTATAAAGAGGTGACCCCTTGAATGGTTAGCACTGTGGACATTGTGGGAGAGTGTGCTGGGGCTTCCAGCTACCCTTGACTCAGAGCCTGGTGGAGGTGTGGCTCTATGGAAGTCAGGAGCCCCAGTCCTATAAACACAGTCACACCCAGGAGACTAATAATAGTAACCCAGCCACCACCATTTACTTAGCCTTGCCCCCCCCCCCCCCCCGCTTTACTTGCACTATCTATTTTCATCTACTTACTCCTCTACTCAACAATCCTGTTATGTCCATTTCAAGGGGGAGGGAAGTGAGCCCAGACAGTATAAATGACTTGAGGGAGGGTGTTGAAGCAAGATTTAATCAAAGCCAGAATGGGGTACCTGGATGGCTCAGTAGGTGAAGTATGCAACTCTTGATCTGGGGGTTTTATTCAGCCCAGCCCGCTGACTCACGCCTGTGAGTTTGAGCCCTATGTTGGGTGTAGAGATTACTTTTAAAAAATCTTAAAAAAAAAAATCTTTTTGGGGGCACCTGGGTGGCTCAGTTGGTTAAGCATCCGACTTCGGCTCAGGTCATGTTCTCATAGTTGGTGAGTTCAAGCCCTGGATAAGGCTCTCTGCTGTCATCAGGGAGCCCGCTTTGGATCTTTTGTACCCCCCTCCCCTGCCCTTCCCCTGCTTGCTCTCTCTCTTGCTCTCAAAAACAAACATTAAAAAATCTTTTTTTTTTTTTTGAGAGAGAAAAAAAAGAGTGCAAGTGGGAGAGAGGGAGAGAGAGAATCTTAAGCAGGCTCCATGAGCTCATGGAGATCATGGAGATCCATGAGATCAACCGTGGGATCAGGACCTGAGCCAAAAATTAAGAGTCAGACACTTGACTGACTGAGCCACCCAGGTGCCCCCTAAAAAATCTTAATCAAGGCCAGATTCCCAAGCCTGTCCTCTTAATCTCACCTGCATCTGACAAAATAATTGCACTAGGGAGACGCTGGTGGAATGAAAAACATAAAGATTTCTAACCTTGTGTAGATTTATGTCAGAAAAGAAAAGACAAGAAAATGAATAAATAAAGGATAGCTTCAGAGCCCAGAATCATAAAAATAGCAAAAGGAGGTTATGTTGGTGGAGGTGATGATGGTGGGCTGCTGGTCTCTTTGGAGACATAACATTTGAGCTGGGACCTGAATGACCAGAAGCCAAATGTATGAAGAGCTTGAGGAAGGGCATTGACAGCCATGGGAACAGCAAGTGCAAAGGCCCTGAGGTGGAGCAGAGTTTGTTTTGTTCTAGAATCTCAGACATGTCCTCACAAAGTTGAAAGCACACACTCAGGGGTGGGAGAAATGTGCTTCATTCCTTCCACCACCCAACCACTCTCAGCAATTTGGGCTGACAGAGGGGTGCCCCTTCCTTGGTTTTGAGGGGCCCCAGGTTGGGGGTACAGGCAGGTCCTTGTGTTGAACTGTCCTGGCCTTCCAGCCACAACTCTTCCCTCCTAAAATGAGGTGAGAATAAAACCAAGTCCAGTCTGGATAGTGTGATCCTCAGCACATCTCCATGGATATCCAGATTCCTGTGACCAGGTGCATGTCTCAGATGCAGAAATCAAGGCTGAGTCAGGAGAAATTGCTCACTTAGGATGACACACTTCAAATGTCATCAGCATTGTCACCCAGACTGGCACCCCAGGAGCCTTCCTCTCATCTTGTCAAACTTCCAGCAATAAAGAAATCCATGCTCCTTCCCCATTCCTCATCAAGGGCTGTGCTGGTGGCTGCTCTCCTTAGAACCAGGAAATGGAGGCCCAGCACTTAGGGCCAGGGCTTCCCTAGGATTGCAGAACAGAGAATCAGACCCTGGGCTGTGACACTGTTAATAATATCTGTCCCGATTTACTGAGCAGCTTGATGCTCACCAAGCCCTGTTCTCTTTTAGCCGGTGCGCTAGCACAGTCTCATTTCCATCACTGCTAAGAGGTTTATTCCACCAACCATGATCTTTTATCCGAAATTCCGAAGTCCAAAAAGCACATGTTGGGAACCATTTGGTTACAAAACCTGACCTGACTTAATGAGGCACAATTTTCAGTTCTGACTTATCCCACTTACTGTAAACGACATCCACACCTTTTCTTGAAGAAATATTAAGGTGTTTTTTTTTTTTTTAACGGAGCAGCCTCAAACCTCGCTGAGAGTGTCAAGAAACACAACTAAGATCCGAAATATTCAGAATTCTGGAAACACACATGGGTTTAACCATGCCCTCAGTCATTTTTACAGCTAAGGAAACGGAGTCATACCTCCCCCTCCCCTCCTCCCACCAAAACCAGATCCCCGCGGTTCCGAATTGAGTCAGCACCGAAAGCATTCCTATTCTGAAAGCGCGAAAGGTCTCGCCATTACCGCCATTACCACACTTGGTACCCCGCACTGCCAAGCCTCAAAGGCTGGCGCCTCTGGAGGTGGGGCGCCCTGGGGGCTATGAGCCAGGCGGGGAGTATCCTTGGCAGGCGGGGCAAAGGGGCTTCCGGGGCGGCAGCCACCTGGCCCGGCCCCCTCCGGCCCCGCCCGCTTCTGCTCTGCGAGGTGATTCACTCCCTCCTTCGCCTCGGGGGCCCCCTTCCCGTCCAGACGGCGGGCAAGACGGCAGGGTGTGCAGCGTCCCCCAATCCACGGGCAAGCAAGTAGATACTCTGCGCCCCTAGGGACTCCAGCGCACCCCATGGCGGATTCCGAGCGCCTGTCGGCTCCCGGCTGCTGGGCCGCCTGCACCAACTTTTCGCGCACCCGAAAAGGAATTCTCCTGTTGGCTGAGATTGTGAGCGTCCCGGGATAGGCGGGTGGGCAAAGGCAGGGTGGGGTGGCTGGACCACGCGTAGCCCGGCGACCCCAGGTGAGGCAGACGTGGGCCCGGAGGCGCTCCCCAGTGAGGCGAGGGTGGGTGACTTAGTGGCAGAGGCCCGAAACTGGGGGCTCGGGGCGAGTCCGTGGGGTTTGGAGAAGGTGGTCAGGAGCTGCTGGGCCACGGGGTGACGCAAGGGGTCCCTAGAGCATATGTGGGGCCCTGTGGAGGGAGACCGCGTGGACACATCGGTGGGCTCAACCGAGGGATCCTAGGGGGCTGGGAGGTGGGGGGCCTCCCGTGGCAGGGCGTGGCGCGGCCTGGGCACAGGCGGGCGGGCTGGCCGGGAGCCCAGGGGCGGGGCCTGTTGGGGTGGGGCCCTGAGAGCTGGTCCTTTGGGGTAGGGCGGTCCGCCTTTTACCAGTTCTTCCTCACCCTTCTGTGGTCGGGTAGGAGGTCCTTAGCTATTACGGCCGCTCAGGAGCCGGGGTTTCCTACCTCCCTCAAAGTGGGCGCCGCCTTTGATTCACTTGTAAAAGGGGTGCGACGCCTTTAACACAGCCCTGCCCCTCCGGTGTCATTCTCACCGCTTCCCAAAAGGGTTGCCGAGGGAGCCGCAGGTCCCGCCCCTGTCAAGGCCCTGAAGCTGGCGCCAGCAGTACTCACAAAACACCTGGCTGCACCACTCCCAGCAGCCCGCCCCTGTGCTGGAAGGGAAAAGGGGCGAAATTGAGGCACCCAACGCTACCCCTTACTAGCTAGGTGACCCTGGGCAAGTCACTTAACCTTTCTGGAGCTCACTTTTCTCACCTGTAAAATAAAGATACTAATAGTACCCAGCTCATTAGGTTGTCGTGATAATTAAGTAAATTAATATTTGTACAGCTCTTAGAAGAAGAACCTTTGAGACACAATGAGCACACAATAAATATGTAGCGATTATTATTTGTCATCTTTCCAGTCCTGGTAGGCATCTGAGTTTGAGACCTTCAGTTTCAATCAATCCCCTCAGCCCTGATGGGCCCTGATCATAGGCCCCCTTTCCCCTGTCATCCTTCCAGATATTTTGCCTGGTGATTCTGATCTGCTTCAGTGCGTCCACACCGGGATACTCCTCCCTGTCGGTGGTTGAAATGATCCTTGCTACTATCTTCTTTGTCATCTACATGTGTGACCTGCACACTAAGATACAGATCATC